GGGGGGGGGGGGGGATCTTCTGCTGAGCGGCGTAGTCTCAGCGTGCTCTGTGCCTGATTGGACGCCAGCGTGGGGTGGAATTTTGTTTTTGGCGAAAATGTTGATCGTTTTTCTCTGATGTACATGTGGCATTTGGATTTGACAAAAGAACGACACCGGAAGAGCAGTTGATTGTCTCGGAGACCATCACACCGCCGCTGGACGGTATACCCCCCCCCCATGTCCAGGGGATTCTGACGGCAGCCGCACCGCCGCCTGAACAGTAACGGAACTCCCGCGTTGCGCTTTCGATGACCAATACCGCAACCCTTTTCATTCCCTGTGTTTTCCTTGAGGACCTTCGGTCTCTGCGAGCGTGTAGGCCTCCGCGAAATCGCAATAATGCTCCGCCATTCCAAGAACCCCATCAATGACAACCCTATTCGATTTTTACGCTACGTGTGCCGGCGCACACATACCATGTGTTTCACACAGGCTGTCGGTCTATCGTTCCGCGACAGCACCCCTCATCGACTTCTACAAGACCAAAGGTCAGCGGAATTGGGAGGCTTGCCCGGGAAACCTATAATACTTCGAAGTAGATAGATTTGGATCCCCTTGTACCACCGCATGTTGTACACGAAAGGTAAATTCGGCATCAGTGACTACGTTGGCTTGGTCAGCGAAGGTTTGGTTGCTTCTTGTTCGGGTTAGTTTGGCCTCGCAAGCCGAGTGGGAATGATTGGTGGGAGATGAAAGATGGTCACAGCAGCGACAAGAAGAACATATTTGATGAGGAAAAGCATCATACACATTCGACAGAAACGAACGCCCGAATGTCCAAGTTGGCGGTGTCACGAAAAATAGGTGCAATAACTGCAGTGGTTGGTCCGTCTCGAAAGAGATGCGTGGTTGCTCATCAAACCAATGCAGCGCCCAACCAACCAGATTTTTTGGTGCCCACTCACACACACACATGACTTTTTCAGGTTTGCTTCGGGAGTTCGCTGTGATGCGAGGGATCAAGGACAAGGATGCGTTGGTAGATGTTATGCACGCGGCCTGAACGGGTGGTCCCAGCGTTGAATACAGGGCCCAGTGACGGAGATATTGATGGAGCAGTTGATGTGCTGCCGCACGATTATACTAACTCCCTCTCAGCTTGTTCGTCTTGGCAGCAGATGATTGTTGTGGTACATCTTTGCCAGAGCGCCATACTCCGTATGTCGTACACCCGACAAAACCGCATTTCCGTGTAATCTGCAAGCACACGATTGGCTGTGGTCTGGAACAACGATGGTAGTAAGCAGAGCGGCAGACCGAGACGCAAAGGCGTTCTTAAGCACCCAGGGTCATCTAGTGCGACAAGCGCATCGCGCTGGTTATGAGGACGTGCGTGGCAGGTGGTGTCGAGCCGCTTCTCAAGATACTTGGCGATATACTCGGAGTTTCTGCAGCGCATCTTGGCGCAGGCGCAGTGTGCTATCCCCCGTAAGCTAATTTTTTTTTGCAGAGATGCACAAGTATCATGACTTGTGAAGCCACGTGCGAACAACCGTATGCCGAGTTCCCCATGGATAGTTTCAAGACGCTAGTTGGCGTCTTGAGGTGCGCACAGAGAACGATGAAGCCTGGCACAACCATTTCCAGGTATGCCGCGACAAACTTCGAGCGGGTGCAACACGAGGTGAGCGCGGGTGGAGAAAAAACAAAACAGGTTGATGTAGATACTTGTCGAAAGAACAAAAGCTGCCCCCCTCACAGCGATGCGCGTGTGAGAATATCTGGGTCAATCTACTAGACGATCGAACGATTGATTCATGATGGCAACGAGGCATCAGCAACAGGTCTGACCGCTGTAGGTACACACCTGCGGAACGGCAATAACCAAGGGGCAAATGCACCACTAAGCCGACAGAGCGCGCTCAACATATCTCTTATTTCTAACCAAAAGAGCCGCTAGGCAAATAAGACAAGAGGGCATTGTCTTATTACACCCCGAAGTCAATACAAGATAACCCAACAGGGCATGAGGGACCAACGCTCTCTGGATCAGCTCATTAGCACGCATGAGAGCCTCTTCGTATTTAGTGTGTATGGTAGCTCACACCGACGGTGTGTGGCCACACAAGACAACCAAAAATGTCCACAACACAACCTGTTCACATAAAACACTTTTGACCAGACGGTTTAGCACAGCGAAAAGGACGAATGAACTGCTGTAGAACGTGCACAAGACCAAAAACAAAAAAAGGTCCATCGATTCTCCCAATTGACGGTCAAAGAAGAAACGGCAGGAAGTCGCGCAAGAAAGATGAGGAAAAGCCTCGACGCTTTTGCCATCACCGTCATAACAGCGGTCGGCACCAAAAAACACCTAAAATGAAACACACAACGAAGCAGTTGATCCTATGTACAATCAAGACACCAACAGGGGAGGTAAGCCGCATACGTATCTATAGCACAACAGCTTGATTCCACCTTCAGAGCAAACAGCTTAGCGCCAACGGGTTTGCTCGTGCCGCCTACCGCAACACCTTGTACCCACTCCGCTGACCCGCGCGATACGCCGCAACCACCGACCCAACGGCGACCATCGAAAATACCGTGGCCAACAATCTCGCGTACGACGAGGTAAACGTGATGGCATCCCCGCCCGCCGCTTCCCTCGCGTACCCGGCAAACACCGCCCCCTGCTGCAGATGCGCTTCCGGCGCATCATCGACCTCGAACCCGCGGTACATGGCCAGCGGGACCCCACTGCTGTCTCTCCACGGCACCCACCCCCCCCAGTTGCTCGGGTCCGCCAGCGGCCCATCGTCTTCCCACCGCAGCGTCGGCGCCACCGACTCCCGGTCGGCCTTCATTAGGATGCCCTCGAGCTTCTTGCGTGCGTCCCGGAAGGCCGGTACGCTGTACAGGTTAGCGCAGGACGCCACCGGACCCAACTTCCTGTCGGTGCCGCAGCCCTCGATGACGCTTTCCGAGGGGTTGGCCTCGAGGTCGAACATGTACATCTTGGGCTCCGAGAGGTGGATCTGGGATTGCACGGTTGATATCACCGAAGCTAAGGTAGACTGGAGGAACAACGGGGGGGGGGGGGG